GAGATTTTAAAAATAGAACAAGAGATTGCGGTAAAAGCCATTCAAAGTCCTAAAACCAAGGCTCTTGTTCAAGACTTGCAGCAGTTGAAGAAGAATTTAGGAGTTTCACAGTTTGAAGGCACAAACTTTACGCCCCCTATGCCTGCCAAAAATCTGATCTCCACCAAACAAGAACTAAACGCCCTCATCGATTGGGACAAAAACACAGACTTACCCCTAAAATATTACAAAGACATTCGCGCCGCCGTGGTCAAAGATATTGAAGCCTATGGTGAGAGGAATCCAAAGTTCCTCAACGCTTTTAATAAAGCTAACGCCTTTAGATCTCAGGTAGGCCGAAGAGAAACGTTCGACAAAAAGCTGACTCAAAAAATAGGCAATGAGAGTGATGGAGTAAAATACAACCAGTTTGTCAAATGGGCTGAAGATCCTAAAAATAAAGCGGCCTTAGAAAAAGATGTGGGTCAAGAAAATGCTCCCCACTTCAAAGATCTTCTCACCATCGCAAGAGCCTTTAAATCAGCCTCTCAAAATATTCCAAACCCTTCAGGCACAGCCCCCACAAAAGCCCTCTATCAGATGTTTGGGAAGCTGTCTGCCCTTGCTGGAGGCGTTCTGATTGGATGGGGAGATTTTACCACAGCCGCAAGCACGATTGGGGCCACTCTTGGGAGTGGAAAGATTTTAAATAAAATCCTTAATGATAAAAAACTTCTGCAGGCAGCTAAAAACTATGCCCAGAAACCCGATGCAGCTCAAGGAAAGAAGCTCAAAAATCTTCTCATGAGTCAGACAAGTATCACCACCACCCAGCTCTCAAAAGCGCTAGAGAAAGAACTTAAATCCCTGGAAAAGTGATAATAGGGGGCAGTTGATCAAACCCCTGTTGCTTCTTCAACAGGAGGCGACTCTATCTCTTCTAACGTGTTCCCAAAACGGAATTTAGGCCATGAGTGATTTTTTCTGAACTCTCGTGCTCTTCTTGAGCCTCAAGGCTTAATGTTGCAATAGGACGCGCTTCGAGTCTCGCCAAACCAATAGGAACTCCATATTTTGCGCATTGCGCAGTAGCCATACTCTCCTTCCTCAATCAGCTGAAGAGCGTGATCTATTTTTAAAAGAAGTTTACGCTGACGATCTCGGGCACCCAATTCAATAGACTGCTCTAGCTCTCGAGAAGCGCGATCCCCTGCCTCCGGCTCTTTGTGAGTTTCCTCTTGAAGGGTGTGGAGAGTGGCTCTTGTCTCCTCCAGAACCTCTGCTTTCCATGCTAAAAGCTTCCGCCGAAAGTATTCTTGTTGCTGAGGATTCATGTAGTCTTCTTGAGCGGAAGGGCGATACCCTTCTGGAAAAAATACAGAGTTGTGTTGTTGAGTCATCTTGTGCTCTCCCTTTTTACCTGTGAGCTATGCAAAGATCTTATTGGTGGCCTCTTTTAAATGATCCAGTTCCAAATGGGCATAGCGCGTCGTTGTGGCAATATTCTTATGTCCCAAAAGTTTAGAAACTGTATACAAATCTACCCCTTGTTTCAAGGCAAAAGAGGCAAAGCTATGACGTAGGTCGTGAAGGCGAACATCTTCTAAATCTGCTAACTTTCTGATTTTTTCCCACGCTTTGCGAATCTCTTGAATATGTGTCCTGGGATATTTTCCACAAAATACATATGGGTTGAAGTTTTTACGCTCTAAGCTCTCTAAAACCGCAATTGCTTTGGGATTTAAGGGGACTGTCTTTGTTCCTGTTTTAGAATTTTTAAAATAAAGATACTTATCTTGTAAATGAACATCTTCCCACTTTAATGTCGTAATCTCTGAACGACGGCATCCTGTATACATTAACATCAATATGGCAGAAACAGCATAAATTGAATGTCCTTTATGCAATGTGCGGTCAAGTAAGATCGTTTCAAGTCTATCTCTTTCCGTGTCAGTTAAAAAATTTTCCTTCTTCCCAGTTGCTTTCTTGGGCACACCAATACATGGATTAGAGCCTCTTGGACGATAGCCCCACAACTCTGCATGCTTGAATGCTGGACTGATCAATGCTAAGGAACGAGCTGCCGTAATTTGTGCTTTTTGCAATGCAGGTAAATCCATAAATTTCATGACGTCTTCATAGGTAATGTCTTTTAATTTCATGTCTCCAAAAAAGGGCAGAATATAATT